TCCCAACATCATCAGGATCCAACTCATTTTCGATGGAGTATTTGAAGCATAGATCCTCCCTACTAGGTGCTCTATAGTTTCCTAGTTTATATCTTAAGGTATCTTATTCAACATTTTTTGCAGAGCCTTACTATATGGTTCGGAGCTCAAAATTAATGACAACACTGATATTCTAGCATGAGTCTTCTTAAAATGCTTAATAACATTGTATTCATTGTGTTTCATCAGTTTTAGAAACTCATTGGTGTCTCCTTTAATGATGGGTTTGTTCACCTTCTTGGTCAAGTCAACTACCTTTTTCTCCTTTGGTTTTTTTTTTTTTTTGTTTCTCAAGTTCTTCTTAAATGGGCATCTTCCGCTATACAAGTTAAGCCTCTAAATTCTGCTTGGAAAATAGGTGTTGGTTATGTGCTTTAAAAAGAGTGCTTATAGTTATATCGTAAGATATTGTAGTTTCTCTTACCTGCCACTATAGGTTTTGACAAAATTAGTTGGGGCAATCCTTCTATAGTGAATTGTAACCAGCAAGCCTCCTTGTTTCTGCTAGGTTCATCTATTATGGATGCTTCTTTGTCTGTTTCTCCCTCAATTCTAAGAGTTTCTCAAGTCAGCACTTGTATCACCTCATTGTGGAAGTCTTCGCATTGATTAATCGTATAGTCTTTTTCACAATGATACTTATAAAAATTCCTACTTATTGGTCCTTTTTCACAACTACCCTTCTTGTACCTGACTTTTACCAGCATTTCATAAACTATATCTAGCTCATTAGGCCTTCCGACTTTAATGCATTTACCAACTCACTACTCAATGTATGATTGGGTAAAGGGTTTGTATTTACATTCGAGGTCTCCTAAAAAATTATCCCCTCAACTTTAATTAACTAGAAGAGCTTTTTCTTGTAGGCATTGTAATTATAGATGTTATGTCCTACAACACCAACATGACACTCACTAGTGAGGTCTAGCTTTTACTAGTTGGGAAATGGTGGCTACAGAGGAACAAGTGGTACCAAAGCTACCTATTTAGTGCTTAACAGCTTCTGATAAATCTCATTCAAGGGTAATGGTAATAAGAGTAGGTGTTCTTGGACTCTTTGGTATTTTTTTCTTTAGTATGTTTCTGGTTTTGTTATTGACTTGATTGGTTTGGGTCTCGGTTTTTATGGTGGAGAATGGAGAGTTAAAGTTGATATTGACAATCTAGGATGAACGGGATGGGGTACTATAGTTTTAGAAGTGGTTTTTCTTATCTCTGTAGCCATCTTCGATGTGATCAACATCCTTCTTCTTCCCTTTGAAGCTCTTTTTTTCTCAGTGGACATGAAAATTCTACCACTCCTTATCCCTTGCTTATAAACTAGCATTACCCTCATACTAGGATAAGATACACAATGTGTTTCATGTATCATTGCTATGAAAAGCAAAAATGGATCCCACTTTTACATTGCCATAAATTCCCCTAGAGATTAAAGAAGACTTGACTTTGAAAGTACGACTAGTAAAAGCTCTAGATCAAAGTGAGAAAGAGCTTAGGAATAAAATATTCATATGATAAAAGTATTGTGGAAAAGCTCTCAAACAAAGGAAGAAACTTGGGAAAGGGAGTCGAACATAAGGAAGAATTATTCTGAATTATTTCATAATGCAAATATGGAATTTAATTTCAAGGATGACATTTTTAAAGGAGTGGGGAATGTAAGACACTGGATAAGAATATTATGGTATTGGCTGATGGTTATCACATTATGTAGACTTATGTTAGTTAATCCTAAATGAATAAGAAATACAATAATTCCAAAGAAATTTGAGCTAAACCCATACATTCCTTCAAGGAAGGAAGTTTGGCCAAATATGTTAGGAATATGAATTATGGATGAATTAAATTTAAATGGAATGAAAGATAAATAATAACTATGAAATCTTTTTGGATATAAGATAAGGATTATTTAGAAGTTGAAAACGAGACTTTTAGGATAAGGATTTTGTATTTAAAATATTTTTTATTATGATGACACAGGAAAGGCTATGAAAGTAAACTCAGGTAGGTGCTTAATACCTTGATTATTATTATTTTTTCTTTTTAACGCATATGGCAATCGTTGTTACTTTGGTTGCAAGATTTTATTGAAATCTTAGCAATTAGCTTTCAAATAGAAATGCTAAAATAATTATTATCCGAGTAAGGTTTTCAGATTGATTTGTATCCATTTAGAGTAACCAAATAGAAACGCTATAATAATTAGCATCAGAGTAAGGTTGCTAGATTGATTGGTATTCATTTGGGATTACTAGAATTATTCGTTAAGGTTGTCGGATTGATTGGTATCTATTTGGGATAACCAAAACTATTTGCTTTCAAATAAGAATACCAGAATAATTGGCATCAAAGTAAGGTTGCCGTATTGATTGGTATCATTTGGGATAACTAGAATTTTGGCTTTCAAATGGAAATGTCATAATAACTGGCATCCAAAAGAGGTTACTGGATTGATTGGTATCCAATTGGAATTACAAAAATTATTGGTTTTCAAATAGAAATGCAAGAATAATTAGCATCTAAGTAAGGTTGTTGGATTACTAGTATCTAATTAGGATTAATAGTAGTATTGACTTCTAATAGGAGCGGGAGCGCCAAAATTATTGATAAATTATGAGAAGATAGTTGAACTTTAAGGATAAACGAATGAGTGTTTCCAAATTAATTAGTATTCCTAATGAATAACTGGATATGGAATTGGATAGTCGAGTTTCTAAGTCATTTGAGAAGGATGGCCAAGAAAATTGAAGAAGAAAAGGAATATAAAACATATTTTAATTTTTTTGTTTGGATGATTTAAATAAAAGGAACGAAGTCTAATTGGAAATGGACTTCATAAAAAGTATTTGAACCAATATAAATCTACATTGAAGATTAATACATTGTCATGTTAATTCTTGTTACAGGTTTTTCACAAGGATATCAAGAATAAACTTTTGTTATTACTTCCTTATATTAATTAATAAGAAATACATGCATTATTTTGTAACTAAGTGTAATGAATTGTAATAATTTAAGTGTTCATGGTATGTAAATTGAAGTACATGAACTTTAATGTCTTACTAGAGAAAAACTGTATTTAAAATAGAATTTGTGTTCACCTTATATTATCCTTTTTATTCAAGTTTTATATTATTTTAATAATATAATATATGTCATAACTCAACTTTGGGTTTCCCCTAAAATCATTTTTTTCGTTTAAAAAATGAAAAATAAATAAAAGTAAAAATGTAAAAAGTAAAAAGTAAAAAAAAAATAATAAATAAATAAAGAGGATTAGCAACTTGATTGGCAAAGACAGACTGAAAAGGGATTTAAGTACAAAATTTGAAGCTTAATTGCATCCTTAAATAACCTGAATGTGAAGAACAATGCAAATTCAAGGTTAACTTGAGCGAATATCAAACAAATTTGCAAAAAATAAAATCTAAAAACTTAATTAAATTTTTAATAGGCTAATTTGATTTAATAACAAGCCTAATTAAGGTTTAATTAAATTCAAAATTTAATTTGGGAGAAAAGTAAAATAATTAATGAAGTGCCAAGACTTAATTGACTTTTAATGGGTTAAATTAATTTTATTAAGGAATTAATTGGTGAAAAAATAAATTTGAAAGCCTAATTTGAGCTTAATTGAGAATATTAAATTTTAAAGGAACATAGTTAATTTTTACAAACCCAATCGGATTAAATGATAGGCAAAAATGCAAGAATGTCAAAGTTTATAGGTCAATTAAAAGCCAAACTGAAAAAAAATTAAGACCAAGGATCTCTTCGCAAAAGGCACGCATATTCAAAGATCAAATTCGGTAAAAATTAGGGGTGAAATTGAAGAAATTAGAAGTTTGAAGGTTGATCAATGACAAGATTAAAAATATCCAAGACTTAGGACTAAGTTAAAAAAAAAAAACATTAAAATTAGAGGGTCCTTTTAAATTGTCACAAGGGTAAAATTAAATTGATTCCTAAAATCAGACTCAATTAAGGGTTTAATTAAACAAATTCAAAAGATTGAGAAATGAAATTAAAAGGAAAATTAAAACCCTAATTAATCTAGGGTTATCAAAACGACACAATTTCATTTAAATAAAATATTTTGTTTTGACCCAAACAATTTATTTTGGTTTCTATTTTGTTTAGTCTTGAACAAAAAAATAATAATAATAGGGCCAAACTTATCAAAACTTTTGTTTTGGTTCCCATTTTATTTAGTCCTAAACAAAAAAATAATAAGAGGGTTTGATAACTCGTCATCTGACTGTTATTGATATTCTTCTCCAAGAAAGCCCTAAGAAGACCTAGTTTTGTTGCTATCTTTCAAGGTTAAAATCTCCCTCACCTCTCCCCCACTTCGAACAAGAAACACACCTCCCTCAAGCCTTGATAGTGTACTCCTACCCAAATCAAACAAAGGTTTTTTTGCAGCCATGAAAGCGCTGTTATAAGAGGCTAACACTCTCACCCCAACCAGCTATGCTTGCAAGAAACCACCAAAAAAATAGTTGTTTTACTTCCCTTGTCAGCTCTCAAACACTATAGGATGATCCTCAACCTCAATGGATGGCTAGGATTCAGTCTTTGACATCAAAGGGTGAGGTTTACCCAGCTCATAGCCTCCGGATGATCCTAATTGCCATTTAAAAATCCATGTCAAAGGCCATAAAAGAGAGGGGAAACCAGAAAACTACACACTTTTATGTTGCTAAACCTGAAAGCCCTAAACCAAAACATTAGCCAACCAAGAAAAACAATAAAAAAACCTTAAGTAAGTCACCCTTACAAGTCCAAAGTTGGTTCAGAAATCCCTAGCCAAGAAGCAATTTTGTTGGAAAAGGTATTCCTTAAACTTTGATGAGGGGGTGTAACTCAATGTATAGAAAAATCGAATGAAATTCATTCTATTGACAATTTCAAAAAACTGTTCATACTATAAGTATAATATGCTGACGATCGGGCAAATGTGCACCCATTGTCTAATGGTTTAGGACATCTCTCTTTCAAGAAGGCAGCGGGGGTTCGACTTCCCCTGGTGTAGAGTATTATGAAAGGAAGTTAATGGAGGATTCTTAAGAAGTCTATATTTTTTTCTTCCTGGGTTGATACCCGAGTAGTTAATAGGGATGGACTGTAAATTCGTTGGCAATATACCTATGCTGTTTCAAATCCATCTTGACCCAATAATTCACTGATCCACCATGAAATGATATAACCCCTTTGTTCTTTCGAAATGTCTGATAAAAAAAAAGTAATAGAAAGAAAAAGGAGCTACACCCCCTCCCTCTCTATTTAATTTTTCTTTTAAATTATTGCTCAAATGTATGTTTAAGCCTCCATTAAAGTTATTTGCTAGTTTAAAAACCATGATTTTTGAAATGTTTAAGCATGCTTTGGAAATAGTTTATATATACACAAGTTTTGTTAGATTGTATTGTTTAATTTATTTGAATATGATAATGGTATGACATATGATAATGTTTAATGTTGTTTTGCATGCTTAGATGTTTAGTTAGTCAAATTTGAAGTCATGGCATGGTATGTTAAGTATTGATGTTGTTATGGATTAAATTGTTTTAGGGTAGTTTGTTGGGTTAATACAAGTTGTTTAAGCTTCAAGTTAATAGAAATAATCAATGGAACAATTTTTATGCATAAAGAGATGCAATTTTTCCTTGTTGTCATTATTGGCTTTACTTATTGTTTTGCTATTGATTGTTTGTTTTTTGTTGTTTTGGATGGGTTAAACAAATTATAGTGAGCATTATAGGGCTAGAGTTATAAAGCCTAGGTTGCTTTTCTGGGTTTTGTATATTTTTTGGATTTTAAGTTGATTCAGGGTTTTATATTCATCCGTTGAAGATTCTTTTAAATCCATGATTTTCATGTCTTTTTGGTTAATTATTGTTTCTTAACATGTGTATAAGTTTGTTGATCATTAATATAAAGTCTAAAAGGCTTAAAAACACTGAAATCTTGGCATTTTATCTTTACTTCTTTGTTTTGTATTTTTCATAAAATCCAATAATCATGACATTTAGTTGTTTGTTATGTTAATCCAAACCTAAAGTCTTGTTTGAATGTTGTTCTTAAATGCCTTTATGCCTCTAATTTGACGTGATCTGGTTTGGTTTTAAATATACAGTTTCTAGGTTCTTTATTTTGTTTTTCATGTTCATCATCGATTTCCAATAAAACCCCTAGATTGATTTTTTTTTTTTTCTATTTCTAGGTTCTGTTTTGTAGTTTAGGTGATGGGCAAGGAAGCCCATCCCACGTGGCTGGGATAAGCCAATTCTAAGTTGTGTTTTTGGGTGTAGGTCTCAGGCTAGGAACCCTAGCCCATGTGGCTGAGATGAGCTTATTCTTGAAATAATAGCATATTTGACTAGTTAAAATTTTATCAAAGACAAAAATATATTTTTGTATTCTGAAGGCATGTTTGTCAAACACAACCTTAAAACAATTTATTAGCCTCTAAATATTAATTTTTCAATAATGTTTATTTTCTTATTTTTTATGCTTTTTCCAAACAAGCCCTAAATAATCTTCAAAAATTATATAAAAACAAAATTAAAGGACCATTTTAAAAAACAAATTGGGTCCCTCGTATGTTTTTTCAATAATTTTGCATGTATTAAAAACATCAATTTTTCTCTTAAATTTCAAAAAAAATCAAAAACTCCTCATTTCAAAAATATAAAAAATATGTTTTTTATATGCATATAGACAAATTCTAAAACTTTTCCATGCATATTTTGTGTGTGTGTGTGTGTGTCATGTTTTTAAAAAATACAAAAATAGGTATCATAACTAGTTTATGATTATTAATTAGAATTTGGCCAAATTTTCAAAAATACCATAAAAATTAATTTTTTTAATTGATGTTTGGGGTATGAATTTTACAACGTGATGCATATTCCTAATATTAAATTAAATGAATTAATAATAATAAATGTTAGAAATTTATTGTAGACTTTATTATTTGAGGGATATGAGATTAAAGATACAAAGTAGGAATACAAGCGATGTTAAATTTTGGGCCCTAGAATGGCTAGGATTTAGCCCGATGAGGTATAAATTTTTTCACAAAAAGAAATCTGTCTTGAACCTTAAATATAACAATGAATAAAAATATGACTTAGAAAAACAATCAATTAACATACATCTTACTATAAATAAGCTGCACTAGAGGTTATGCATTTTCACTATGCACAATTAGTCTTTTTATTAAGATTCACGCAAATCATAGGTTTTCTAATAACCATAATATTAGATAACAACTCCTTTAAAATCATAATTTTATAATTAATTTCAAAACTTTTTTATTTAAGGAAAAAAAACCTATTATTTGATGTCGTGCATATCATGAAATTTCATGGTGAATATTATTGAGATATCAATGATATGGGATTCCAAATTAATTGGATTGATGAATGAGATATAATTAAGTAGATCACATTGATGTTTACATATACATATATATATATATATATATATGAAATTTCATTAGAAATGTTAAAAATTCCTGTAATTTTTTTCAATATCATGACTGAATACATTGTTAAAAGTTAATATAAATATTAGATCCTTACACAAGACTTATTGAAAACTTGTGACTATAGAAAAAGATACGAATCGTACTCAAGATCCTCATACTCCATTAATAAAGACAAATTATTATACCGGCAATCAATGTAGATGGATTGAGACTCATAAAAAGTGTTGACGATAAAAACAATACTAGTAGTTGCCTAGGTGATCAGATTTGAGCTTAACTGGTTGTATTTTGATTGGAAAATGATGAACCAAGGCGGTTAGTTTGAATTTAGATGGATTAGGGATTGTTTGTTCATATTTTGTGATGGATGGTAAATGGTTGTTTTGCATTAGGGTTTGTGATTGAAAAGTTTCTAGGAGCTGTTGGTGTCGGTTCTTAGATTGATTTGCTGGTATGCTATTAGAAGAGATGATTAAAAAGGAAGAACAAAGATTCTTCATGGCGGAAAAGGATAGGAAAAAGATAAGAAAAAGGGATCTGCATCAAGTAAACAACATTAATGGCGTCTCAGCTAGGGGATCAGCATGCACTCAAGTTATTTCTCTACATATTTCTCCCTCTGTTTTCTTATTTTATTTGTATATTGATCAAGAACTGCTTGTGCTTTCGGGTGTCCAATCATTCTGACGGACAACGAATGTTCTTGATTCCTCATTAGTTTAGGTTAGTTGTCTTTCTTTGATCGTTATATTCTGATAGATAGTTCAATTACTGTATTATGCCACTTATTAACGTCATATCCCAAGGGAAATTCTTCTTTTCCAAGGAAGAAAAAAATAAAACCATGAATTCTTGATGATGAAGACAACACAGCGCATGAGACTAGACCTAAAACCTGTCGGCAAATTCTAGTTTTTTACGTGGATTGTGATGAAACGCAGCCATGGGAACATAGCAATGAGAGATTGTCAAGAACAGAGGAAGCAGCGTGATGAGTTTCCTACGGAGCGTATTGTCAACGTAGTCACTGCACAGTAATCCTATACGGATTTACACTATGTTTGGGATTGTGTTTGAAAAGCGCTTTTCATAAAATTTGAAATTTTTTTTTTTTTTTTAGTTTGGAAGTAATATGTTTTTGATGTTTTCAAATCATTTTGATGTGCTGATCTCAAAAATGATTTTTAAAAAATAAAAAAATATTATTGGCATGCTTTTCTAAGTGAAAAGCACTTTGAAAAGCAACAGCAACCACACTCCCAAACACCCTCTAAAGTTTACCAACACTTCCATGGATTCACACATCGTTGACCTGGCCTATGGATAAATGGACAACGAAGCAGTAAAACTATAACAAAGTCTCAAGTTTTATTGAAAATCAATTTCATTTGATAAAAAAGAAAAACAAGGAAAGAATTACAGACATGTTTGGAAACACAGGTGTAACCACGGAGCACCACCCCGGCATTTCTAAACAGTTGCTGCAACCAAAAATAAACACCCCGGAAAGAATGTGCAGCTAAAATTAACAGTGACGAGTCAAGTTGACTTATTTTCTTCACTGTTGATCTCGCATTACTTTTCCATCTATCTCCTACCCTGTACATGCATCAAAACTTAATAATTTTCCACTTCCACGTAAGAAGGCAATCATAAGGTGACAACATAAGCCTATATGACCTATAGCTTCCACAGCAATGCACAACTTGTATTCAGAATGAGCATGTTTAGGCACTTAGTGACATGGAGATGATTGAAGAAAGCTTGAATTTGCGGACTTTAGCGGAGTTCTGTGGCTCAAACAGAACCTCTGTACTTGATCTTACGGTTTCTTCCTTCAACTCAGAAGCTGAAGCCCCTTCACTTCGATAATCACGGCCAGAGTACAAAACCTGGAGCTTTGAATTGGCTGCAGGTGTTCATTGAGTTTTGAACAGATAAGTGAAAAGGCAAAACCAAGCAAAAGGGCATAGGTTGTCAGAATGTGTGCTTGTTCGACATAAAAATTACAAATGCATTATAGATCTTTGGTTACTATAATAGGGATGAGCTTAAATATACAGAGAGGAAGTACAAAAAAGAACAGTTAAACAAAAACATTGTTTTGGTGGGGTGTGAGTGTTAAGCAAGTCTGGATGATGAGTTATTGAGGTTGTAATTTAGAAGAAAAAAAAACATAGTTAGTTAAAACTGCTCTGAAATAGATTTTTGCATGTAAAATATATAAAAAGCGGGTTTCATAAATAAAAAAACATGTTATTTTAGCTTTTACAGAAACAAAATTTAAAACCCAATTATACATGAGACCAAAATAAAAGGCAGAAACTGTCAATATATTCTCCTTTATTTCATTTCTTTAATAGCTGTCAGTGCTGTCAGTATATTCTTCTTTTTCTTATTCTATTTCTTTCATAGCTGTCACTATATTCTTCTTTCTTTGTTTAATTTCTGTTATAGCTGTATATCCCTTGATTCTCTCTAAAAGATCTCAATTATTGTCTAGGCCTAGTATTAAAGTATCTGATTATGTTTATTAGATC